TCTTTCCAATCTAATAAAAAATCTGAGAGTTTCTCGTATGGTGAATTCGAGAATTTATGGATTTGTAAGTGAAAATAAAGCTGTTCCCAAGCTAGATCATGAATATCGATCCGAAAATGTACACGAATTGTTGAGAGGTTGGCCCATTTAGCTCAGTAAGGAGGAAATTGAATTCGAAGAAAAAGAGATTGATGCCCCACAAAGTTGAACGAGCGCTGTATGCAAAGCTTCTTGGTACGCCATGGCTAAAAAGTCGAAACCTCAGAACTTGCCGAAGCTTTCCGTGTTGGGGTTATTTGACCTGCCGAATACGAAAATCATTCATTTGTCCAACTAACGCATTTTTTCTTGTTTAAGGTGAGATGCTCTACCGTATTTAAGGTGAGACGTTTTGATGTAAACCAACTGTAACCTTACAAAAAAGCCTCTATCATGCGAATCCAATATCGTTTTCGTAATCAGCATGTCACATAACCCCGCTAAACAAACTTTCAGCAAAATTTGTAAAGATTCTTGGATTTCTCCTTATGTCATATACCTATTGTGACCCTCATTGCGACTTCAGAATCTGGCGGAACTGTAGCTGCCCTTGTAGCTTAGGTCATAGTTCACATGACAGCAAAATTTGAGTGCGTCATATAAGAAGAGTGGTGAGTTTTGAAAGTAGTTGCAAGTCTTAGTTAACAACCTAGCAATTTCAAAATTTGGGAGTTTGAGCGTTTTCCTCTTTCATAAACACATGCAGCTGCATAAAATTCCGTTTATTTAATAAAAAGAGCGAATTCAGCGCTGGCAAACTTCTCCCTTGTCCCCAAAGTCCTCCACTCGTTTAAATGTAATTTACATATATACGAGAGCTACTTTAAGGAACTGTAATTTAATTCCACTGATGTTTCAAAACTCTCTTGCCAACCTAATAAAGAAAAAATTACTTACTACTACTCCAACGAATATTGCGATAATCCTGCCAGCATGCGTTTTCGGGACAATATCACCATAGCCATTCAACATAAAGGTGATTGCTGCAATTTTACTAATTATATGATAAATATCAAAGTCTTCTTTAGCTGACCAATAAACCACAAAGCATTAGAGTACAGGATCGATGGCACATCTTGGTCAGTTTGTCCAAATCTATAATGTTTCGATTTCCAAGTCACTTCTCATCATACACATAAGCACCTCTCACACTGGACAAATGTCCATGATGTAACTATCCAAAAGATAACGGTAAAAGTAGTCAGAAACAAAATTGGCTGCTGGTCCAACACTGTCTTCAAAACAAATGAAAAATTAACTTGGATGCGATTTAACGCAGCCAGCGTTCGTGTAGAGGCATCCTGTAAAAAAATAGAAATTTATTTGTGTTAAAAGTCAGAAAGCCAAAAAGTGTTGAAAGCCAAGAATGACCTGGAATTGCTTACTATGAAGAACCATGAATCTACCCAATAAATAAACACGTGACAGCATTAGTATCGAGAGTGGCACATCGAAAGGTACCTCAAAACCAGTATCTAAGGCAATGAGTACGTGTCGCAAACTTCTTCAAAATAACGCTAATTCAAGCGTGACCACATATTAACAAGGCCTTACTTGATTTATGAAGCTCAGTATAGTCACATTTCTTCCATGCAGGTTTGATAGCCCTGCGAGCTTGTACTGCTTTTTTGTCTGCGTTTCATGCTACGATATACCTGTCCAAAATATTATGCTCAATCCTTCCTTAGCCCAATGCATGTAGCATATTATATCCTAGCATATTCTATGCATCCATCGCAAGGACTGGCAGTGTCTGCGGCAGCGGCTGCGCGCGGCTAAAACGTCGCGAAAACACCACTTGTACGATTGTGATTCGTACCGGTACAAGCATTTTCGAGCATTGCTTGCGCCGCGGTGACGGCCAGTCCGTGATGAATTTACCTATACAACACTTCCGCTGTTACCGGAATCTGCAAAAGACCCTAAACCACTCTCATCAAAATTTGGTTAACGGGTTTTTTGCATATTGCAAGCCTTTTCAACTCTGTTTAACCCAAAACGGGTCCAAGTTCTCATAGAATATACGAAAGACCCGTTTTGAGGAGGGACCGTGGAATCAAGGCGAGCAGAGAATTCCTCGGTATATAAGGGCCTGGATAGTCGCATTTGGGGCGGTCGCTTATTCAGGAAATATCTAACAAATATGCGGAAACCCGCATATTCAAATTCTGGTGAGACAAAGCCTTTGATTCGCAGTTAGCAAGAGTAATGTTTGGTCGCAATTTATAAATAAGGCCTTCACGAAATTGTGGCGACAGGCACTACTGCGGCTTTGGCCAGCCGTCACGTAACCTTCTAAAACTCAAACAAAAAATCACACTTTGAAGCTTATCTCAAAGGCTTCAAGTTTTTAAGAGGTATCATATGCAACGAAAATAAAAAGAAACGAAGCTTGAAAAGATGCGGTGACAGATTTTTCAAGCGACGCACGCTCCCGCAGCCTTGGTCATGGTTTCATGGTCTATACATGTGTCAATATTTGTGTCTTTCCGTGTGATGGGTCTATTTGGGAAAAACGAAATACTTTTCAACGGTGTTTCAAGTCTGGGGTCATGTGCTGTTGGCGGTAGGACCTAGCTGGACTCGTGTTTCTACATCAAAAGTCAAGCCCTATAAAACAAATGTCTTCTCACGGATCAGTTGCAATTGCAGTTTCAAACAAACACCAGAACAGTTTGGTAGTGAAAGTGTACTTATACGGAGCTTGACGTCTGAGGGTAAACTGAGCACGGTTTCCAAATACAATAATGTTTTTGCTTGCCAATTCTAATTGATTTTTTTTAGAAACTGAAAAGAATTTGTTTTTCGATAAAATCATTTGATGATACTGATCTGCATCAATTTCAGATTTTGCAATAAACAACCGTGAAATCTGGATGAATTTTCTTACTAGCTGGTATACTTTGGACCGAATCGAATGATTATTAGATCATTC